GAAACTCTATGTACAAACAGTGATCAGGCTGTTCGTTCACAGGGTCGCTATGAGTCGTCTACGACTTGACGGCATTAAACAACAACAACAAAACAACTACAAAAGATAACTGTCAAGTCACAAAGGTAACATAAGCTGTGTGTTTCAGAAAGAGCTGGAAGAGTGGCTGTCTGCTCGCCAAGGCTGGGAAGGCCTCTTCCATTCTTTCCTCTGTCCTTCACTGTTGTGATAACGTTTACACGGCAAATCCAAAGGGAAAAAGTACAAACATTCCAAGGCAAGACCTACTGGCCAACGCTAAGGCCTGGAGTTACCGGTGGGCAATAGGATGGTGGGAAAGAAATTGTCCTCGAATTCTGAACATGCCGAGGTCAATGAGGGTGAGCTCTGTTTTGGAAAGGACGCAGAGCAAACACCCTGTGACTGGCCACGTTCCCCACGCTCATTTCAACGTGAGGAGAAGTGTCACCTTGTCGACGATCCTGCCGGTGACCCCCATGCCGTTGAGGATGGTGACGTTGACGATCGTGGGCATCCCTCCATAGTAGATGGGCTGGGAGCAGTAGGGCCACATGTAAGGGCACTCGGTCAGGTCGATGTAGCTGGGGCTCAAGCTGAAAAACAGGATGGAGGCAGCATGGCACTTAGTCTTGCAGCAAAGCAACTGGACCTGACTGTCCCCGTCGCCTGGGCTGGGGTCTGCGCACCAAGCTTGGGCTGCTCTCCGTGCTGCTCAGCCCCAGGGCCAGTCTTTGGGGAACCCTGGCAAGGGAACCTAACTGTGCCGTGGAAGAGAGTACAGAACTCAGCACCGCGGAACGCAGCGTGACTCAACCCCGTGAGGCTGAGGAGAGAATTGCATGCCTGGTCCGCAGGCGGCTCCAGTCCATGTCTGAGCACGGGGGTGGGGACAGGGCAGGTCCAGCTCGCAGGGCATAGTTCTCCTAACGGGCCTGAGGGCAGAGGCTCTACCTGAACGGAAATGGTCTCAGCAAGAAGTCAGGGTTGAAGAGTCTTCCTCCCCAAGCCTTCTTCCCTACTCCTCTTCTCACAGGTGCTGGGCCCAGTCACAGCCCCAGTCCCCACTTGCCCTTCCCAGGGACCCCCGTGCCCTCAGTCACACACACCTCTCACTGAGGCAAGCCCATCTCTCTGGCAATGACTCCTTCTACAGGGTCTCAGCTAATACAGCACCTTCACCTAATTATCAAAACGCATCACCAGGACAGATAAAGGAAAATAAAAGCCTGATATCAATTAAAAGGAGCTCTGGTGGTGTTGGTTTATAAATCTAACTTCTGAAGCAAAAATTCAAAGGAAATTCTCTCACTCCTCTGTTATTAAAAACAAAAGGCTCCCGTGGGCTAAGAATCCAACAGAGCGGCAGAGAAGAGCTCTCCCAGGACAGGTGACCCAGGGTACGCTTGGTCAGTGCGGCTCTGTCTGCGGGTTCACACTCTGGCTGAGGCCGCCCATGCCCTGAGCACATGGTCAGCGTGGCTCTGATCCCTGGCTATCATTCTTGGCTGAGGACTCCCATGGACTTGGCATGCAGTCAGCTCAGCTCTGTCCACAGGTTAACTCTGTGCAGAGCTGGTAGCCAAGCATGGCCAGTGGGGGAGGGAACTGAACTGACCTGGCCTGGGGCCTGTAGCTGTTGAGGATCTGGTAGGCTCTCAGAAGGTCCAGCTTGCCATGACCCTGCTCGAACATGTTGACGCCAGGAAGCCTGCGGGCGGACGCGATGAGGGCCTGCTTCACGCTGGCCGGGTTTACCAGCTCCCGTTTCTGGACTGTGCTGGAGGCAGAGAGTCACAGGTTCAATTATCTTCTCTTATTAGAACACGAACATCAGATCAGACCCATGCTAGCAGGTGCAGGCAGGGATTCAGCCTAGGGGGGCCTTCCAGCCTAGGGGGGCCGTCTAGCCTAGGAGGGCCTTCCAGCCTAGGGGAGCGCCCACTACTGAGCTGGTCTGACTTCCCACCATGTACCTTTAGGACAGTGGTTCACGGGGGTCCCACCCACTGCCATCCAGTCAATCCCAACTCCTAGCAATGCTGCAGGGCAGAGCAGAGCTGCCTGGCAGAGTCCCCAAAGCTGTGAGCTTTACAGAAGCAGAGTGCCTCACATTCTGCCTCAGAAGCAGCTGGTGGATCTGAACTACCAATTTTTTGATTAGCATTTAGATGCCTGTACCCACAGCGCCACCAGGGCTCCTTACTTACAGGGGGACAATGTCTGTGCTAAAACTGTCACGACATGGGCTTCCCCATCTCATGGCACTGACCCCCCACTGGCTGGAAGGACATATGAGGTCTGGTTCCTTGGGGGCAGGGGCAGGGGGGAAGACCTGGATGGGCCAGACACGGAGGGCAAAAAGCAGACAGGGATTCCAGCAGGAATGAGGCACCAGAAGAGCAAAGGCCTTCCCTCTCAAATGGACTCTCCCATTTCCAGACCCAGAGCCTGTGTAAGAGGTCCCCCTGGTGGATGAAGTTTAAATGACCGTGTGGATAAGAGTCTCCTCCATTCTGTCATCAGGGTGCAGATGGACAGAAAGTCACACACAGGACAAGTCAGGGACACAGTCAGTGACACTATCCACACAGCGTGCGTGTGTGATATCAAAACCCAGCCCACCGAGATCAGCCTCGCCCTGGCTCACAGCCACGAAGCCAGCTCCAACGACATCTCTCAGCAACTTTCTGACCCTTCAACGCATCCATCAGACGGCTGTGATTCTATTCTGCTGCGCCTGAGACTGTACTAGTGTGTTAGCTGCAAAATTAAGGGTGAGTCACAAGCTCTATTCCAGAGTCTACGGAATCCCACAAGGCAAAGAATCAACCAGTGAGATGGAGACACTTCTCTGAGCTAAAGAAGTAGCAACTGTCAGTCCACTGGCTGGGCTTCTCCTTAATCAACAGGAAAAACAAAAAAATAATAGCAACAATAATGCTTGCTGTGGTTGGAGGTTCAAATCCATTAGCCACTGCATGGAAGGCAGACAGGCAGCCTCTGCCTGTACAGTTAAAACCTGACAATGTGTCACATCGGAATCAATGAAAGAGCAGCAGGTGTGGTCGTGGCTTCGGCTCAGCTCAGTGCCACACGGTTCAGGATCTACAAGGTGGCTGTGTAGACCTGGGCACCTCCTCCAGCTGGCTTCCAGGAGAGAGGACTCTGGCTCCTGAAGAGCATGGGGCCCGACGTGCTGGACGTCACAGACCTTCCTGGCGGCAGGAGTGAGGCTCCAGACACGTGCCTCGCATCCTGACAGCAGAGAGGGGGGGTTTATCTCCGCCAAACAATGCTCACCTGACGAGCAAGGTGACAGCACCTGCTACCACGGGAGAAGCCACGCTGGTCCCCGAGAGGGCCCGGCAGCCTCCTTTCACCCCCGAGCCCCGCACTCCGGCACCATAGGTGACGATGTCAGGCTTCACACGACCGTAACCCCCTGGCAGTTCCTGTAACAAGAGGAGCCAGGTTTCCACCAGATCACACACCAGAGACAGAGCTGTGAGCAACCACAGGAGAGCCTGGGGGTCATTATGGTCCAGCCCCAGAGAGGTACCATCTCTGTGAAGTTCACGGTAATACAGCAAATGGCCTGGTTGAGGACAGAGGACCGTGGATTCTCAACAGGACCAAATGCCAAGTGGCTGAACTATGACCCTACTGGAGTTATGTCTGCACCATGCAGCTAACTCTAACGCACATTTCTACAAACAGCACGTGTTGTTACGTGTGTTTGCCAACTCCTTCCCTCACCATGAGGTGTTTTCAGAAGCACCATTAGAAACATCTTTCTTTTTCACACTGCTGGGTTGTTGGGGTTTTTTGTTTGTTTTGTTTTTAAGAAAGCACAGCACAATAAAAACACCTGGGCTGGAGGCAGTGGCGGGCAAACCAACATTGACGGTGCATGTTCTATGTTGGGAACGTTTCCCCCAGGGCAGTGCAGATCAGAAGCTGTCCTGACCAGCTTCTCCTGTGAGGACAGGGTTGACTGTGACATGTGGGAGCAGCAGGGCCAGCAGGGAAGAGGGACTTACCTGCCCATTAACTAGGGTAAGTTGACATAACCCAGCTCACCTAACAGGGAGTTCTTTAGAGACAGGCTCAAAGGAAGTCAGACTGGAAAGCCCAAGCAGCCTCCCAGCGCCCCGCTATGAGGGGGACCGGCCGTCTGTGTCTCTGCAAACACCCCAGGCACAGGAGGTGAGGACAGCACGTACCCAGGTCGTCATGCCCCTGGAGGAAAAGCGGGCAATATTGTCTTCAAAGTCAATGCCCCCGACTCCAATCACATCCATCTGGTCAGCAGGGTTGTTGAGAGTGCTAGGACGAGGCACACAGACACAGGAGAAGAGAGGTCACTTGCAGGGCACACCCACCTGAGGGGAAGACCCCCGGGAGGCATGATGGCGTGCGGCTGTTTCTGGGCAGGGGCCTCTGGGGTGGCAGCTCCTCATAGCCGCCTGCAACATGCCACCCTCTGGCCTCTCCTCGCGTCTGACGCCTTCCTCTCACTGTGACGCCTGCCGTTCCCTCCCCTTCCACTTGCAGGCTCTCTTTCTCACTGGTCCAGGCGCTGAGAATGGCCCCTACTGAGGACTCAGTCCTGTCGCCATTCATGCCTCATCCTGTGACCTCACAGGACTTGCCAGTTGGCTCAGGAGTGTCCCCTGTGTCTCTCCTCAGTAAAGGGGCCACGTCACAGGCTCACAGCATCATGGGCAGAGAGCAGCCCGCTGTGGACACCATGAGCTGGAGCTCCGGGAGGAGACAGCACACCCACTGTGCCACCCCGTGCACCCCCTCACATGAGCACCGTTAGCAAAGGGCATTACAGAGCAGCAATGACCACGAAGCCGTTCACACTCTGAGGGAGAAGCCGTCCATAGTCTGACTGGTCAGCTGCTGGACAACCTGAGAGGCCACAGCCCCTGAGCCCTCGAGAGCAGGGTCCGCTGCCCAAAAATGCACCTCTGACAATTAATAACTGATTCCAACGGCTTAACAGGAATTGCAGCAAAATGGTGCAGTTGCTGCAGAAGATGGTTTGGCAGTTTCTCAGAAAGTAAAATAACATTAACAAGCGGTACAATTCCACTCTAAGTACACCCTCAAAAGACCTGAAAGCAAGGACTCAGACACCTGTAGGCCAGTGTGGACAACAGCCGAAAGGTGGGGGCAGTCCACGTGCCAGTTCACATAAGGGACACACTCCACGTGGCACATCACAGAAAGGAACACACTCAGCAACGAAGAGACGAAGCTGACCCCGTGCTCTGGGCCGGGCCACCTTGAAAACATTGCCTGGAGCGGATCATTCCACTTGTGTGAAATAACCAGGACGGGAAAGGCCCACACACAGAAATATCCCAGTCACAAAAGGACAAATATTACATGATGCCACTGTTGTAGAATGGGACTGTCCTTGGGGTTAGGGAGACACTGAGTAAGATGGGTTCAATAATGTATACTGCACTGAAGCAGAGGAGGGAGAGAACCGTCTAAAAGAGAGATGTAACTGGGTATTTCTGTCATCACAGGAGACTAGAGCGAGGGCTGCATGGTGGAGGGGACCTGGGGGAGGGTTTGTAAAACAATGAAAGAATCTTTTCTTTTACTTTTCCATAATTTTTGGACTCATGTACTTATAACTTGTTAGTCAAATTTGTGTCTTCTAGGTTGCAACACCCCCATGATACATCTTGAAGGATATGTACATGTACAGCCAAGCACAATCAATAAGAGTGCATCTGAATTCCAAAATCAATCTCCATAATAGTCTATGTGTTTCCTACTGCCAAAGGGGCCCTTTAGAGTAGTGAGAGAAGATCTTCACCCTGAAACCCACAGCGTCCCTTTTCAGCAGGAAGTAGCTAAGAGAATACGCCGTCCCCTTTTCCTTATGACTCAGGGTGAAGTCTCTCTCAGGGAGGAGTGATAGGGAATGGCAAAGGATACACTGACAAAGAAGATTAATCAGAACTGGCTTTGACAAGCACTGTGGCATTTGGACAAGAACAAACTGGGAGGAGGGTAGAGAGAATAGTGCAACAATGAATGAGTGGAAGCCCAAAATCTCTGTAAATGTTTATGAAAATTAATAAAATATAAAAAAAAAAAAAAAAAAAGAAAGGCCCACACACAGAAGTCCACCAGTGGCCACCAGGGCCTGGGGGAGACACCGAGTTGTACTTCAGGAGATGAAAAATACAGAGGCAGAGAGTGGTGACAATCCCACAATGTGGTGCAGTCATCAGAGTCAAGAGGCGCACTCACAGAGGGTAAGCTGGCTAAGTGCTCATTCCACGTATGTCACCCCACTAAGTCAGGGAAGAGAGAAATCAAGTGCCTGCTGGTAAAATGTGGGGTCCTGCTTCATATGGCTTTCCTAGCCATTGGCTTTAACTGTCACCACGCAACTGGGTGGAAAGCTTAAAGAGGTGGCTATAACCAATCGCCACGGGCTTGGCCAGTTCTCCCCTCCCACCAAGGTTAAGGTGAACAGGTTTAACAGCAGAGACTGGGAACCTCATTACCAGTAAAGAAAAAGCAGCAAAGAACACAGCACGTGTCCACAGGCCCCGTGTCCTACGCCGGTCAGAGGGAACCACACGAGCGCAGGCACAGCCTCAGCAGAAAACAGACTGACGTGAGACAGAGCCGACGGGGGCTGCTGCTCCTCGAGCCAGAGCCGCTGGCCAAGCTCGCTGAAGGACTGAGGCCCTGCCTGGGAGGGTGAGGGCTCTGCGACTGACCTCCGCCGTGAGGTTGAAGGTCACAGAGCCGTCGAGAGGCTGCTGTGAGGAGCAGCTGTAGCCTGCTGTCAACCTCATAAGCACAAACACGGCTCTGTGAGATCCGTGTGGCCACGGGAACGGCCTGAGAAGCAGCACAGCGGGGAGACAGGTGGTAGAGCAGCAGGAGGTGCAGGAGCGGAGGGCCCGTCTGACTCCCGGGAACTGGTGTGGTATCGCGCACGCTGCTGCCAGGGACCGCGCCCCTTTGTGAGGTCAGGTGCTGCGTCCCCACCCTGTCTTCGCTCCTGTTACACACGATCCCCGGTGCGCGACTTCTGGGTCCCCGTATCAAACTCTCTGGCCACAAGCTGCCAGGCTTTTGTTCACTAAGTGCCAACAATTCTTTTTTACCAGCTAAGAATGAAATGTAATGAACTCAGTGTTATGAGCAGGGGCTAGCCAGTCTCTGGCAGAAATGACCACTAAAGACAACAGTCAAAATTGCCGTTTTCCTGTCGTGTTAATCTCTCATCTGAGACGAGCTTCAAACCCCTGACAGAAAAAGAACTGCTTACGTGCTTTCCCTGCTGTGTCAGTTTTGCTGTGTTTATGACTTAAAGTTTCTAAAAAGATTGACCTGCATCAGTGAGTAGGAATCGACTCCTAGCTGACCCTCCAGGTTTGCAGAGGCAGTAAATGACACGGGAGGCTGCCCATCTTCACCCCAGAGCGGTCAGTGGATCCAAACCACTTGCCTTTAGGGTGGCAGTGCAGCTCCTTACCATGAAGCCACCACAGCTCCCTTCTAAAAAGGCAGGAGCATCACACTTCCCTCTGCGCCTCACTGTGCCTCACACATACAGTGGAGCCCAGCAAACACCAGAGAACCCGTGCAGCTATGACAGACTGCAGGGGAGGAACAGGCTAGGAGACTACAAACTTCCGGTCTCTCTCTAGATGACAATTTACAACAAAGTTTAAAAAGTTAAACAAAAACAAGAGTTGGCCTAGTGTTAGAAACCACGGAAGCTGAGGGGTGTGAACTCAAGAGTTCCCCACACACAGCTGTCCTGATTTCTGCTCTGCAAAGGTTCCCGCCAAAGCCAATCTCCTGATCACAGAGGTGAATTCCAGTTCACAGCGACCCCAGAGGGCAGAGCGGAACAACCCCTTTAAGGTTTCTAAGGCTGGACATCTTTCTCCCACAGACCGGGTGGTGGGTTGGAACGGTCAACCCTTCTTAGTCACCAGGAGTCTAGATAAAGAGGAAAGAAACAAAGACGGGGACAGACAGAAATAAGCTCTCAGTCCAAGAAGAGACATCCCCACGGCTGTCCCACTGCAGCTACTCACCCATAAAGGGGCCCGTCGTTGCCAATAGCAGAGACCATGATGACGTTGTTTGCCGTTAACTCCCACACCTACAAAAGCAGCAAGGGCTTACTTAGGATAAGACATCAAGTTTAAGGCACACGTACCAGCCCCCAAATCCACCACTTCTCAAAGCTGGGAGGAAAAGAAACTGTCCCCAGGGCTGATAAACTACACGGCCGAGGCCTCACCAATCCCGAGGCCAATCAACTAGACGGGACCTGCTGTCACGACCAGCTAGCTGTTCTCATCAGGGCCGTAATAAATGAGCTGCGACAGATGGAGGAAACGCAGAACTGATTCCAAATTCTTACAAAGTCCAGATCTGATGGACCAGCTGAGGCCAGAGAACTCGGAGACCAAGGCCTGAGGGACTCTACACCTTGAACCAAAAGTCACCTGAAGTCACCTTTTAACAAAGTTAACAGCTGGCACACTAACGGACCTCACCCAGGCACACATCGGGATGGGACCAGTTCAACAAGGCCAGCCCCGTGCAAAAGAGTCCATCCTTTAGCTGTGCAACGATCCTCACCCTCCCTTCTTAAGCCTCAATATTTTTTAATAAGTTGAATTCAAGTAATGCTCTGGAATGTAAAAATCCTATCCTGGAAATCCTATGTCCATGGGGAGAGAGCTGTGCTGAGGGTGCTGGCCGACCTGCCATGCCCAACGCGGTTTTTCAACTCACTCGGAAGCAAACATGAGAAGTTAAGGGGACCGGGAAACTAACGTACCAGAAACGAAACAAACACCACAATTACAGGGAAAGCTGACAGACTGAAAAAATATCAGGTCACAGAGCCATTTCTGAAAAACTGCCCGATGAGAATCTAGTTTACTGTACATACCTTTACTGAACACCTGATAAAACATGACAACTGGCTCCTCCTGTTCCAGTCAGATCTTATTTGATTGCGCGCGCGCGCACGTGCGCACACACACACACACACACACACACACACACACACACACCACACTCTCTACTAACTGGGAGGACTGGCAGGGAAGGGCCCATGAAGGCGGCTGTGTGGTTACAGGCAAGCCCGGAGCACTGGGCTGTCCCCTGCAGACGGCTGGGACACGGCTGTCTGTGCAGGACGCAGATGGGACTGCACACTTGAATAGACAGGAAGCAGAGAGCACTGGGAGCTGCTTACAAACACCACTTCTCATGATGCTCATCTGCTCAGTCTGACAAGCAAACCACTAAAGTTCACGTCACTGGCCATCTGTCGTCAGAAAGCTGTCCCTGTCTGGGTGAAGGGCTACCCAGCAGCCAGAAACCAAGCTCTCCAAGTAGTGTCCCCAAAGAAGTGGGCGTCACGCACACACTGTCGCTGTGCATGGTGACAGGTCCCACCTTGTCGACGAAGGGGTGGTCCATGAAGTCGGGGCCCCCGATGCTGAGGTTGAGTACATCAATCTTCTTCAGGATGGCGTAGTTGAAGGCATCCAGGAACCACGACGTGTAGGACACCTAGTGCATCGTCAAGAGCCGTCAGCACCTCAGGAAACAGCCACACGCCACGCACAGCTTTGTATCTCAGGGCGCCACAGACTCTCAAAGGAACTGCCCTTGACATGTGTTTTTTACTTTTTCCTCTACTGTTTTCCCCCAATTTATTTAATATTTACTGTCAATTAACACCACAAAACACACACCAATCTGACTATTTCTGCATACATAATCCTGTGGCACTGGCTACATTCAATCTTCCTCTTCTCCCTTAGCTGAGCCTTGACTGTTTACTAATCTAAATTTCAGAAATAACCCCCAACCATAAACAACGTTCTGAAGTTTAAGATGCTATCTCAAGGGGAGCTCTGGTGGCCTGGTGGTAAGGAGCTGCAACTACAATCCCAGAGGCACAGGGTTCGAATCCACCAGATGCTCTGCCGGGGAAGGAGGGACAATCTCCTCCTGTACCAGTCAGATCTGATTTGACGGTACACACACACACACAAAATAATTGAAAAAAAAAAAAGGGAAAAAAAAGATGCTATCCCACGAACTCCAAGTCTACGGAGAGGGAGCTGTGCTGGGGGCCAGCCTGCGACACTGAATCACAGCTCATCTCAGCACACACCTTGATGGATCGGGCCCCAGGCCTGTCTTGAGACACTGCACGTAAACATCCCGATTCTTCCACTCTCACTCACGGTGGCTGAGCTGGAACAGACTCCTGCCTGACACCTATTCAGTTTCTGAGTAAATCACACGAGACAAGACAGCCCATCTTTCTTCCTGGGGTTGACTGGTGGATTCGAACCGCCAGAGCAGAGCAGCCTCGGGGTTATCAGGGCCACTCCCTACACATTATGCCACTAGAGTTCCCTGTCCTTAATAAGGCTAAAGTATCTGTCTAGTCATCTTTGTTCTTCAACAAACTGAGGGACGAGTTGGACTAATTTTTAACAAGTGACCTCACTGGTGTATTTCTTTGATGTTCCTGTCCTCCTAATCTCTTCGTAGCAGTCAAATTACTATGTGTATACATGTAAGAGTCGCCTATGACTCGACGGCACTTAACAACCAGCACCACCACCACCATCATTTAAGAGTTCTCTTGGCTTAGTGGTAAGGAACTGCACTGCCAATGCAGAGGTACACGGTTCAAATCCACCAGCAGCTGTGCAGAAGGATGGGCAATCACCTCCTGTGCAATTAACTGCCCCTGAAAACTTGCTGGAGGGTCAAGTATGGGTCAGTTTCGATTTGATGGTACACAGTAACAACAGCATCCATTTAAAAGGCCCTGGTGGTGCACCCACTTGGTACTTGGCTGCTAGTCAGTGGGTTGGTGGTTCGTACCACCAGTCACTGTGAAAGTAAAAAGGAGCGGGGGTCTGCTCTCATATCGAGGGCAGCCTTGGGAAGCCCCACGGGCAGGGCTACCCACCCACGGGGTCACTGTTATCATTGTTTTCTGAAAAAAAACTCAGAGTTAAATTTACAGGGTAAATGGAGTAAGTCTAGTGATAAAGAATTCTTTTTGAATAAGGCCTTTTAACAGTTAGACTGAAGGGTGTGGAGCTATATTATTGAATACATTAATGATACACACGGAACGTTCTGCATCCGACAAAACCCACAAGCCTGGACAACGCAGAGAACGAACCAGCCTAAGTGCAGACTTCAGTGAACATGGATGGAGCAGAACTGGCTCAAGGGCTGTGACCAGCAGACCACACCCCTGTACAGAACACCCGGTGGGGACAGAATAAAGTGGGGCTGGATGATACAAGAACGCGCCATGCCCATGCTATTTCTCCACAGACCAAAGCCTACTCTCAATAGTAAAGTCCTTAAAGAAACAAAAAGGTAGATGTTTATATTCACTGTATAGGTGCAAAAGTTCTGTGAGAAGGCAGTTTCTAAGAAATGACGTGTGAGCCGCTGGGAGACAGACGCACAGGACCAGGCCCCTGTCCATGGGAAGGAGAGGGAGGGGGCCTCATTACTACACCACCCTCTGGGATTTCCCAACTAGTATGAACCACTCAAGAACAAAAACATCTATGCAAATGCCAGGAAACTCCCCCTTTTCTGTAAGTGGTCCCCCAAATGCTGGAAAAGCCCAGTGGTACAAAAGCTCCACCCGTCCTGATGTCTGGGAAGGGCAGGCCACATGCTGCATGGGACTAGGGGGTGTAAGTGTGTCAGGGGGAGTGGGAAGTCCGGCTCAGGTCCAGCAAGGAAACAGACAAAAAGTGCCGTCAGGGGTCTGTGGTGGGGCTGCACTTTAGGACCAAGATACAGTTCAGCAATGTCGACCCCTGCCGCATTTAAATGGGCGTGTGTGTCTCTCATTCATCAGTCTCTGAAAGTCACTCACCTGATTATTGGTAAAGACCCTGAAGATGTGGAGCTCCGCGTCCGGAGCAAAGCCCTGGCACTCCCGCATGCTGGCAATCACACCAGCCACAAACGTGCCGTGGCCCAGCCCTGCGTGAGGAAGGAGACGCATCATGCACGGCGGACGACCAGTCAGCTCAGAGCACCTCAGACAAGCTCCTGGGGCTCAGCCTCAGGGCCCCGCGCTGCCCACTGCCGCCAGCAGGAGGCCCGCCTGCCCGGGAAGCACCCTTTCTCTCCCGCAGCCCCACTTGTAGATGCGCTCTCGGCAGCCCTAACAAGGCCACCACCACGGCTGCCCATGTTCAGGGAAGCAGCGCGCCTGCGCCGACTAGGTCCCAGAGCTCGAGTGTGCGCACCACCCGGTCAGGGCAACCCACCGTCATCGAGCGTCCGCTCGTTGGTCCAGTTGGTCCTCTCCTTCACGTTCTTGAAGTGCGGATGCTTCTCGCTCAGCCCAGTGTCAAAGACAGCCACGCGGACGCTGGCACCTGCGTCCGGAGGGAAGAGCGCACGGCTGTGAGGGGACAGGTCACTCTGGCTTTGTCACAGAACGCCCTCCTTCGAGGGGCCTGCCAAGGATACGGGATGGAGACAGAGCTGGGAGCCTCGTCACCGCACTCTCTCAACGATGCGTGGACTACACAAGACCAGAAATTCCTCCGTCAATATGAAGACTCTCACTTGAAAAATTGCTCAACTCAAGGTCCCAGGAACTATGCTGCCTGAATTTTCTTCCTTCCCCTGAAAATTACAGAACTGTGGGGGTCTGCCCGTCAACTCTGGCTGTGAGTGGGGTGTACTCACATGTGTGGACGGAGAGAAATGTCAGGACCCACACTCCTAACAGAAGGGATGACAGCACAGAGGTAGATGCCCAGAGATGCAAGGGCCAGTGCCAACGTCCAGCTCAGGGGATGCTGGCAAGGATGTGGCACACGGACCACGGGCCTGTAGTCTCCAGGACTCAAGCCAGACGTTTCCTGGCTGCCAGAAGTGAGGCTGCTTCCCCAGTTTAGTGCACATACCTGTGTACCCCATCTGCCAAAGCACATCGGCCTGCAGCGTCTGGGCGACCTGCCGAGGGATGGCCCTCAGCAGCCGTCTGCTGGAGTGTCTGCCAGTGGCGTGCCAGAATCCAGAGCCCAGGGAGAGGCTGGCTCTCCGAAGAGGACGGGACGACTGCCATTTCTGGCTCCATCTGGTATCATTGCAGGGCACAATGGGCTCAGCTAGAGGCAAGGCAGACAAGTGTCAGACTGCAACTATTCCGATGCTTTTGAATCACAGTGGGAGAGAGTCCGGACTCTCCCACAGGCTGCCGTGGAGCGGGTACAGCCTGGTGCTCCTGAGGGGAGAAACTACTTCTCACATACTCTGGGCATGCTGTCAGGGAAAAAGGAAAAAGGCACCATGCCAGGAAAGGTGGCGAGTCAGAGAGAGAGAAGATCCTCAACGAGATGGACTGCCACAGCGACTGTAACTACAGCTCACACGCAGCAGAGATGGTGAAGACGGCACGTGACAGGGTGAAGTTCTCAGGGGGCTGTGGGTCGTGGCTGAGTCCATGACACCTGGCAACAGCAGCTACCCACCAAGGACCAGTGTTCTGAACACAGACTCGGCTGCCTCTGAAACCGTGCATCAAGGACAGCCGGGCTCTCGCCCTCTCTCCAAGGCATTTCCCAGTGCTAATGACACAGGCCAGCTGTCACAAGATTCTCAGAGTTCTCCCCAAATTCTTTAACCAATAAAAGGTGGAGAAGGGCTCATATTCTCTAAGAGAGACAGCCAACTATGACACTAAAACTGAAGAAAACCTTGACTTTTTTACTAACAACTTGTACTCAAGAGAGGAAGTATAATAAAGAAATAAAAAGGCTGAGGCGGCCAGAATCGAATCATAATGCTTCGTAAGACTAGGAAAAGACTATGGAATACAACTATGCTTATCTCTGCCCAAGAATCAGGGGAACCTTTCCCAAGTTTATATTGCTTGATAGAATTTTTCCCTACTGGTCTGACAGCACACCTTTTATTCTGAAATGACACTGCATGACTATAAAGAAAAAAAGCAAACATGTATAAAAAAAGAAGGAATTATTAAAAACATTCCCCATGCTCTGAGATCCTATCTTCTACAGAAACAGAGAAGTGACTTCACCCCTGAAGGCAGGCTGGGCCCACTGCTGGGGGCTATGCTTTCTAACACACAAAGCGGAGCCAAGAAACGTGGTCAATCGGCACACAGCAGCTCTCAGCTCCTCCTCCACCACTGCTCATAACCCAGAACGGTTATCAGCGGATATTTCTAACGTGTGTACTTCACCCTCGAGAATGCGGGCATCTTTAAAGAACTATGAGCGAATGCACACTGGGTTGTTCTGAGTTTCAGGCAACTCAATGGCACATAATGGCAACATCCTGAGTGTGTGAGTGAATTGGAGTGTGCTGGAATTCTTCTTTCTTTTGACTTTGTTGGTGATTACACAACTACACACTTTGGTAAAATCCTGCCAAACACTAAAGAGGATAAATTTTATGGTCTATAAGTTAGCTCTTAGAGAAGAGATGGAAAGTCAAAGAAATGCAGTCTTCCCCTTTACTTTTCAAAATGCATGCCATAAAGACCAAACGGTATCTCAAAACAGTCCTCAAATTAGAAGGATGCATCCATAATACTCCTGGGTCTGTTCCTAATGCATGTGACTCTTGTTTTAATCTCGCTCTCCCAGGCTACACCCACTAAGAGTACAAGGACCTGGAAAAACACACACTCGAGTCCATTCCATGAGAAAACTATTGACACAGCCCAACTGAAATGCTTCAGACTAAGCTTCCTGTGTTGACTGTTGCTAAGCCAATAGCAGGGACAATACTGGAGGCAGTTAGGCAAGAACAATATTTACAAGGGAGGGATCTGGTCAGCTTGCCTTCAACAGACCAGACTGTCTGGGAGCGCTCCATCCTGACCAGGCTTCACTCTTCAGAACAAGTAGAGAATCTTCAAAGGAACCAATTAAAATGGTGAGGAGCCTTGTATCCAAAGAGCTGGAGAGACTGGAGATTTTTATTAGCCTGAAGAGAGACAACTGAGAAAGCTGATACAACGGCATCTTCAATCATCAAAGAGAGACAGCCTCACAGCATCTTCCAACACTGTCTGCGGAAAACAGACTCCCTTTGACTTGGAGCGCCACTGGAGAGGGTAACAGCTGGGATCCCGTATGAGCGCACTTTCAACCCCAAATGAAAGCAAGCCTTCCTAACAGTGAGAGCCAGGGGAACCACAAGCCGAAGGGCTCCCCACATCATCCTAAACACACTGAGGGTGCTGCATTTGCATCTTTACAGAGGAGCCTGCTGCTCCCGAGCCAGTCCACGTTGTTGTGTGTGCTGAGTCAGAACTGACCCACAGCTGACCCTCCAGTCACTTTTCAGAGGCACTGAACTGCACAAGGGGAGACTGCCCATCTTTCTCCTGTGAGGCAGCTGGTGGATTTGAACTGCGTACCTCTGAGATGGCAGTGTAACTGCTAACACTCCCTACTGCTGGGGTTCATGATGCCGAGTCAGCTGTGACTCACCATCAGAGGGAAATCCTGCCTGACCCGCGGCACCCGCAGAGCCTGCTGTGCTGAAGACCACAGCGTCCGTCCCTCGCTGAGGGTCTTCTTCCTCTTCTCCAACACTCTCCGCACTGCCATGCATGCGTCAGAACCACCACTATACAGATGGGAAAACGGAAGCTCAAAGAGTCACCTGGCAGGCACAGGATGAACCAGGTCAGTCATGGGGTTCGGAGTTTCCGTGGGAGATGCCAAGGAGCCATGCCCGAGACAATCACACGACACGTGAGCAGGGCACAGAGGGGGCTGTTGAGACCGATGCCTGTGCTGGAAACGCGGCACCTGCACATCTCCTCCAGTGCTCAAGAGTGCTTCAGGTCACAGAAGGAAGGAGACAGCACAGCGCACCTACTCAGCTCACTGCACAGGGCTCGATTTGTGTTTATCTCCCTGGCTGTTTTGAGATCACTGTTTTTTAAGGTGAGAAGACAACATGAAACAAAAAAACCAGCAGAAGCATCCCTGACGATATGAGCCACTTGGACTCAGCAGCTGAGAACCCGCCATCACAGGAAGCAAATGCTCACCTGTCTCCACTTGGGTTTCATCACGTTTTTTCCCTTATCACACTAAGACCTCAGCGGCTCTCAGATCTGCTAGACAACAGGAAAAGGGAAAATGAGGCACAACGTCATTCCTTTTCCTCCCAGGAAAAGAAATGAGGGCACACACTCCTAACACTAGGAGTCCACTGCCCTGACTTACGACAGATCGGGGGAAGCATCCTGATAATCTAGAGGCTGGGAAGAAAGTGACGAACGTGCAGTTTATGTTTTAGCGTAAACTCCACCTTTACAAGAGCAAGTTGTAGAAAGGGGGAAAGGTCTAAGTGTCAAGCTAAACAAGGCACCATTAGAATCCTGCCCCCTTCATACCCAGCTCATGACTTAAAAAGCCCATGTGTGGACAGTCATGAAGCACTGAGAAGGAAAAGAGCAGATGCTATCCACGAACACCTTCTAAAAGCGCAAATGAAAAGACCTCTTGCCAGGAGTAAAGACGCAAGAGAGGAAGGAAACTCAGATTTGCTCCCAAGGCTGGAGTGGAGAGGTGCCCTCAAGGTTTGAAGGCCCCGAGACAGGATGGTCGCTGCCATTCTCAACCAAAGACCTCAGGGTTTCCGCCACTAGAACAGAAAGCCTCAATTAAAAAGAAAGAAAATTCCTGCCAAGGAAATGTTCCAAATCTGTGAAACTAGACAAGGGGCTCGGGTGTGCACTGTTGTCCTTGCCCTCGACACTGCCAGTCTGTGATTCCCAGTCAAGAGCTGGGGAGGGGCGTCTGTGTGGACATGTGTTCCACGACTCAGGGACACGAAGGGGAGAGAGAGGCCAGGGGTACGACACTCACATTCCGCATACTTGAGGGAGCGGAAGACTTTGCGCTGGGGGGTGACGCGTTTGATGTTCGGGTGGCCCTCGAGGGTCAGCAGCCCCGCCTTCTGCTTCTCTTTGATCTGAATCACCTCAAAATCACTGGGGTAGTCGCTGGATGGGTTGCTTCGAGGGAGAATCCTCCAGTTGTCGACCTCGCTGCTCCTCAGAGCGCTGGAGATGAAGGAGTTCCGAGCCTTGGCGGTAAAGTACCCGTTGAAGGCCACAATGTACTCTGTAACCAACAACCACAAATCAAACATGTGAAGCGACGCCCATGCAGTGCCAAGAGTCAGAAGTGTCCCTGTTTCTGAGGAAGAGTCATTCAGAGGAAATCCTATAAACCTCACGTGAGGAGGAGCCAGGCCTGATGTGACTCAAGGCCTTGGACAGCAGATGGCAGGGCCTCTGACCACACCCGCACACAGGCTAAAACACCCCCAACCCACTGCAGCCAGTCAGTTCCGAGCTAGGCGACCCCTCACTGGGTTGCTGAGGCCATAAACGCAAACAGGAGCAGGCTGCCCCGTCCTTCCTCTGCAGGGTGGCTGCTGGGCTCCAAAGGCCGGCCTTCCAGGTAGCAGGTCAACATTTACCTCAATAACTCACTTACGTCACTCTAACTCAGACACTAAGAGGTCGGTGGTTTGAACGCACGAGCTACACCCTGGAGGAAAGATGAGCAGCGACTGCCCGTGAAGAGTTACAGCCTCGGGCCTGACACAGGGACCCCACTCGATGGCGGTGATTTCACTTCTATGTTTGCATTACTTTTACAAAAGCAGGTGTTAACAGAAGTTTGTGTGTACAGACAGAAGATTTCTGTAAGCTTCTCAAAAAGGAATCCAGGCAAATAACTGCTTGGCTCCGTTTTACTAAAAACAGTGACACAGCCTCAGAGTGGACCACAGTTCACTCACTGGCTGTGTCTCTCACTCTCTGCAGCAAAAAGAGCACCCCTGTCCCAGGAATCCAAACCCTGGGAAACCACTGAGCAGACCCACTCCTTGTCTCATTCAGCTCTATCAGGAAAACCAGTGTTAGCCAAGTTGGCATCCAGGGGCTCGGCCTTGGCCTCATTTGAAATTTAACGCAGAACAAGAATGCTGGTGGGCAAGCATTAACATTTAAAGCAAATCTGAGAAAATCGGAGGTTCTGAGATTGAAAACGGACTGTTACCATATTCCACCACAGTGGAGGAGAATTCCACCTTCAGGGTCAGATGGGAACAGCCAGGGCAGGGGCCCTTCTCGAAAGGCCTCTTGTCCAGTCTGCTGCCCAGATGTTTCCTCCCACAGAGCAAAACCACCAGCAGCAGCAGCCAGATGTGGACCAGCTTCATGGTCGTGAGCAGGTCTGGTCAGACAATCGCATAAATTCAAATCACACTGTTTGCTTCCTTGATTAGAAGTTAATTTGTGTTCCAGCCAGAAGCTGAAACATTCCTGATCAGCCGTCCTGCAGTCTTGTCCAACGTAAATAAAAGGGAAATTTCATGGCCTTTTGTGGTCTCGGCCTGGACAGAGCCTTTCATTTCTTTCTTCGCTTCTTCTCCATCTTGGGCAGCAGGCTCCTCTCTCAGCCAAGACTACTGAGTCCTGTACTCCATTTGCACCATGGAGACAAGGTCCAGTGGCGTCAGCGGAGGGATCGCTTCCTCTCACTCAACCTGCAAAAGGAAAGACAGTGCACAAGCCGTCAGAGGAGCTGTGGCCCAGCGGACTGGGAGCGCTCACAGCTCAGCCTGCGCTGCAGCCAGCGACCCCATGCATCTCGGACAAGAACTGCACTCCACAGCGTCTGCCCTGGCCGACTCTTCACGTGGACACGGTCAGGCTGCTCTTCCGAGGAGCCTCTGGGAGGGCTTGACTTTCCAACCTTTCCTGGGACACAAGTTAGGTAAAAGGGCCAAAGGGGTGCCTCAGTTATAAGTAACACAAGCACAAAACACTAGTTCATTTTTAATTATGTCACACCTGGCTGGGGGAGGGAGGGGGGCAGAGCTTTAAGGTAGCTTTAAAAAAATTAAGAAAAATGGTAAAAAACCCAAAACACTAAGAATAACACTACAACAGTAAGTGCACTGGCACCCTAGGAACCAGAGAGGGAGGATTCACAAGCCTGCTGTGCAGGTAAGGGGCCTGCCACGCTGCGAAGGTGAAGGGGCCTGCCACGCAGGGAAGGGGACTGCTGCTGGGCCCCTGGTGCCTGGGAGGAAGGGAGCAAGGCCAGCAAAAGGGGACAAAGCAGAAGGCTAAGGTGGGTATGACAAGACAGTAGCTTGCATCCTGGCCACGCCAGAGGTTAAGAGGGTCAGATCATGGCTGTTGATGGTGGAGTGGACAGGCCCTGCTGATGCACCGGACCCAGGGGCTGGGGGTGAAGTGACAGGTCGAAGCGTCTGGAGCCCACGCTGAGGAAGATGGGGAGGTGCTCAGAGAGGCAAGTTCTAAACATGTTAAATCTTGGGCAAGCTCCAGCAAAGGGAGGGGCAGTACCCTTGGTCCCACTTCCTATTCTGAGGGACAAGTAGGAGGAGGGAATGAAAAGAAAACCAGCAAGAAAGAATGCCTTAAGGAAGAGTAGTTAACAGAAGGAGACCACTAGTTTGGTCATTTAAAAGGCTTCTGATTCCTTTCGGGAAAGCGAGGAGTGAGCTGGTCTCCACAAGGACCCCCTGTGCCAGGACTGCCACCAACCTGCTCTGTGCCAGACTCACCCCTGAAAGGAGGTGCTCTGAGGTATAATGCCTTCCAGGAGAGAGGGCCACCTGAGGAGGCAGCTTCCTGCTCTGGTGGGCTCTGGGGGCCCAAGTTTAATTTCAAAAGGGGCTAAAGTCCAAGCTCTAAAGAGGACATTCTTCTCAAGGACTTAGGTGGCCCACAGGAGGAGCACTGGCGGTGCAGCAGTCAAGTGCTCAGCTGCTAATGCAGAGGTCACTGGTTCAAGCCTATCAGTGACTCCAAGGAGAATGCCGAGGCAGCCTGCTGTGAGCTTACAGCCTCAGACACCTCACAGAGGGCTGCAGAGAGCAGGAGTCAGTGAGAAGGCAGGGGCTAGATCATACTCAAAGGGGCCTTGGTGGCACAGCAGGCGAGGTGTGGGGCTGCGTACTGAGGGACTGCAGTTTCAACCCATCAGTGATTCTGAAGAGATGATGAAGTGTGCTCCTACTAAGATTTATAGCCTTGACTGTAAACCTGAGGAGCACCACCAAGCCACCGGAACTCCCTGATCAAAAGGTAGGTGGTTCAAAGCTCTTAGCTGCTACGTGAGTGAAATATGTGACAATCTGTTCCCATAAAGATTTAGAGCCTCAGGAACCCTATGGGCACTTGGAAACTTCTTACAGGGCCACCGTCTTACAGGATCACGATGGATCGGAATCAACTCGGCAGCAGAGTGTTACACTCCAAGGAACCGAGAGAATTCTCACACATTCTGAAAAAGACGAATTACAAATTACCTCCCCTGTTTCTACGACCCACATCTTAATATTCAGGAAACACTGAAAGAAAAGTAAGTTGCTGGGAAACATAAAAATCTTTCATAACATTTAAAGGGGGTCATTTACCAGTAGGTCTTTAAGTGAACACACATTTCACCTAAAACATCCAAGAGAACAGAAAGCTACACTGAGTGCTGCCCAAGCGGCGGGCACTGTTTTCAGTCACCCAATCCTCTCCAGACACAGTCATTCCTCACGTTTTCTGGAGGAGAAAACTGAGGCCTGGAGTAGTTGAGATGAGGATGGCACAGGATAGGGCAGGGGTCCGGTCTGATGGTCAAGGGTTCACCTTGAGTTATAACTGACAGCCTGTAACAACAAAGGGGCAAGTGAGTCCCACAGATGGGTGGTGGGGACTCCTGGGGGGAGGGCGTTCTGGCTCAGGCCACCCTGGAAGGACAGCAGGCTAACTGCTCTTCTCATCCCTTGCCTAAGCATTCATCCAAAGGGGCATGAATGGAAAGCCTACAATCTATGTCTAAGAATGCGCACTGCAAGACTGTAATTGGGAAGAGGAGAGACCAGCTACGGCCACCATACCAAGGGTCTGGCTATGCGCTCTGGGTGCCCTCCACCATGCGCTGTCAACTGGTGCAGCGGCCCCCAGAGACGCTTACATCCTCAGCCCTGGGGCCTGCACCAGCCTTGCACATGGCAGGGTGGTGCCATGAAGGACCTGGCCATCGTGCATGACCCAGGTGGACAGCACAGACTAGAAATTCTGAAGGATGGGCTGCTATGAGGTAGAACTCCAGTGGAGGGTCTGTCCAAGGCAGAACCAAAGTCAACGGCAATGGGTTTGGTATTAGTTTGGCAGTTTACTATGTGTGCAATGATGTTGTCACTGTTTGCTGTGCAGTCAGAACCAACTCACAGCTGACCCTCCGGCAAGTTTTCAGAGGCTACTGCCTCACAGGAGAGGACACTGCCCATCCGTGTCCTGCAGAGCAGCTGGTGGATTCAAACCACGCGTCTTTGGTATTGCAGCACAGCTTCTTACCACTGGGTCATCATGATGGAAAGTTTGAAACACTGTGAGGACAAGCAAAACGGAGCACAGGGACACAAAGGGAGCAAGTGTCCTTAGAAGCAGGGTCGCCACAAACTTTCAATTTGTATTTTTTTAAAAAGTAGTAATGTTGTTATCTACAAAGCCCAATAAGGCAAAGCACAATGAAAGAAGGTTGGCGGTGCAGGAAAGGACCCAGCTGACAGCTCCCACTCCATACTGTGTAGAGATTCTCCCACTGAAAACGTGCACAGGGAAAGTCGATCCCGACAACAATAATCCTGGGAAGAAGTCAAGAAGCCAGTCCAGGTGATGGGCGTGGACTTGCAATACCCTATAAACATCTAATTACGCAGGGAAGCCTACTTTTTAATAAACTGGTTTTGGGAAGAGCTCTGGAGAAGACTCCAAATTGTGAAGGCAACAATTCATTTCAATTAAAATCCGGCTGCAAATGTACCACTTTGGTGACTAATTACACACGCGGATCTATTACCATTGTTAAACAGGCTAACATTTAAGGAGTGCCAGATCTCGGCGGTTTTAAAATAAAGGTGTGTTCATAAGCATTTCTCCCAGCATAGTCTGTCTGCCAACCCAAATAAAGCAACTGCTGTCAAGTTCATTCAGACCTAGAGCAACGCTGCAGGACAGAGAACTGCCCCAGTTTCCAAGGGTTATAATAGTTTTACCAAGCCAGACAGCTTTCTCCTGAGGAGCAGGTGATGGGTTCAAGCACCAACATTCTTTTTTGTAGCTGAGCACTTTAACCACTGTGCCACAACGGTTCTCTCTGCCACCACATCTAAACAACCCACAAATTATCCAGGCTAAAGTCTCCACGGGCAGCAGCTGAGCGCCCTTGGTCTGTGTCTTGTGCTGCCTACGACTTCCTGCATGCTGCTGTGACTGTTGTTAGGTGCGATCACGTCCACTCCGGCTCAGAGCAGCGCTGTGTAGAGAGAATGAACACAACGCTGGCCAGCCCTGGCCGTCCTCACAATCACTGCGGTACGTGAGCCTATGAGGAAAGTCACTGTGTCAGCTCCACTCTGCCTCTTTCTCACTGGCCCTCTACCAAACTTAAGGCGCCCTGGTGGCCTCGTGGGTAAGGAGCTGTGCTCACAATCCAAAGGCAGACAGTTTGAATCCACCACCTGCTCTGCTGCGGAAGGATGGGCAGTCTCCTCCCGTGTGATTCAGCTTCTGAAAAGCCACTGGAGGATCAGAGCTATATGCCTGTTTCAACTCAAGAGCACTAAGAACAACAATCACTGAGCATAAAACCCTTCCTTCTGGAGGCCCCAAGGTACAGAGATGACGTTTTGCCATTCTCCAGGCGCCCTTCGCCCTGCACAGATCTGTCTGTCCTTCCGGCAGTCCACAGACATCAGAGGAGTTCTGCTGGGATAGTTTCCAGGGAGTTGTGCAGCCAATCCAAAGGCCACACCTCTCTGGTAGTTCAAATCCACCAGTGGCTCCTCAGAAGCAGCAGAGGCAAGCTTCTCCCATGATGAAAACCCACTGGAGAGTCGGCAGTGAGTCTGTTTCAATTCGACAGCAGTGAGAGAGACTGTGTATTCAACAGGATTTAACTACACCACAATTCAAAAGCATCAATCAAGTTGTTCTCCTTATTTCATGTCCAATTTTCACATGTGTATGCTGTTGTCGCTACGTACCATGGAGTCGTAATGGACCTACAGCTGACCCTCCAGTGGGTTTTCAGAGGCAGGACACTGCACGGGAGGACACTGCCATCTCCTTGCCACAGAGCAGCTGGCGGGATCTGAACCTCATCCCTCTGGGTGGGCAGTGGTGAGGA